CAAAGTTACGGTGAGTGGTTCTCCTTTCGACCACCTGCGTGCCCTGGGGGTCTCGAACTTAGTGAGTTGGTGGAGACGTTTGGTCGGATAATCACAGATTGTTATGATCCTTTCAGGCTCTGAAGAAGGCGATTCCGCCGAAACGTCAGCCTAATAAAGGTTATTTAAAAACCTCGTGAAGAGTTCAAGACAACAACAAACTCAGTAATATAATCATGCCGAGGTTCATAGAAAGCCGTACATGGAACTCAGTCGACATTTTGACATTCCCTCGAAAGAACAAACAAACCTACCTCATAAAGAGATTTCGGCATCGTATTGGCGAATCCGTAGGCAAAAGTGATCGGATTGTCGACAGGGAAATTGGTTGGGACTGAAAAAAAGAAGACTGGAATTGCTGTGGGTAAATGATTGACTCGGCTGCTTCCTAATAAAATATTCCCATCAGTAAGTCCCATACCAGGCTGGAGGTTCGGTAACGTCAAGTGGCCCTCTCCACCACGTCCTATAAATCAAATTCTAGTAAGCGATCAAGGCTATCACTCAAAGTGCCGGATTTTGGTACCCATTGGAATAATGTGAAATGAACCCACTCTTCCACATTTTCTTTAATATTCCGTGGGTTTTTAGGGAAGTTTTGAACGAAAGAAATGGTTTGCTTGCCCCGTGCTCACGGACGAAGAGGGTTTGATGGACCCACTGGGTAGCGATAGGGTCGACTAGGACGGTAATGGCGTTTGCTCTTACAAGCCGATGATCAGCGGGCGATATCAAAACGATAAACGATAAAAAAGTTAGGGAAGTTTGGAAACAACCTAGAGCAATGACAAGGGAGCACGAATTCCATATGATCCTCGACAGCGGCTGTACTACCATGCCTGATTCATACCTGGTATGGGAGTAGTTGTTGATAAAGTAGAAGTGGTGGTTGTGGTTGAGGTAGAGGTACTTGTAGCATCAACTGTGGTTGAGGTAGAGCTACCTGCAGCATCATCTGTATTTGAAGGCGCAGAATCCGGTGCGACATTAGATGTGGTTGTAGAAGTAGCTGGAGCAGTACGTGTGGACGTAGAGGTTAATGGGACGGTAGAAGTAAACTTAGAAGCAGCTGGAGCATTAGGAGCGGATGTCGTAGTCGCTGAAAAGGTAGAGGCTGATGCAGAAGTAGATGTGATTCTTGTGGGTGTTGATGAAGCAGTTGTTGTTGTTGATTGTATGTAACCTAAATCTAAGTCTGTCAGAAGTAACTGAGTACATTTCTATTACATAATTAAAACGAGTACATTACCATCATAGCACTTGAAAACAATGTATCGCTTTTCAGTCGAGGTACGAGAACCAACGGTAACAGTCAAATAGACCTCAAAACGTGTATTATACATCCGAATGGAATAAAGACTTTGAGAAATCTTACAAGAGTTGCTACTTTCAAACCGATGCTTTGAACTTATGCCTTTTTCATAACTTTACTACCACATGACTCGACTAAACCAACTAAGGACAGCTATAGCATAATTCATGGGCTAGGCTACCACGCACATCTCACTTTTCCTGTATGTTTTCTGAGCACCAGCAACAATGGAGAGTTTGGGCCGTATCTGGTCGTAACACCCCATGCGCGGGAAGGTCAGCGAAAAAAGGGCTTGTTCACATGCCCGGCGTAATCTTCGATTGATGAACCCGCAATCGATATTTCTTAGTAGCTTAGCTGTAAGCAGAATGAGAAAATCTATGTTCGAAAAGAGAAATCAAAATCAGTTATCCTGACGGGTCTATTTTCTGCTGTACCATGCTTGACACGATAGACTGACCCTAATGAAAGACGATTTTCAAGGGGATTCTTTCAAAAAGTAGTCAAGAGAGGGTATTTGAAAGTTATAGATTACCAACCGGTTCGCCCGGGGTGTGGTGCGATTCACGCGTCAATATAATGAGGTCATCGGACAAAAAGCGCTAAAACATCATGGCTACCGTCATCACGGAAGAAATATGAGGTTATAAATAGAATAAGTAAAGAAATGACCAACTATGCACGTTTACAGAAGGATTGGGTTTACTAGGATCGAAAAATTTGAAATTATTCTTATTTTAAACGTTTGACAGGTGAATTGTTGACCTATGAGGTGAATTCTCAATTTCGAAGGGGCTTTTTTGCCATA